TTGAAAATGCAGATGAACGTTAACACTTTTAAAGTGAACAGAAATTAGTTAAAAGGTGTCCATTATTTTTGTGGAACATTTTCATGTATAATATGAACTTTTACTAAGGGCTCCATCAGTTTTCAACTATGACTGGAATAAGGGCATGAAAGCTTAATCAGGAAAACATTAAAAAATGAAGTCTAAAAAATCCCAACACTTAATTTGTTTTGTTGGAATAAGCAAACTAAGTAAATGTCTAATACAGGATAGTGGAAATTTAGAGTAGAACTGTATGCTTGTCCTTTTTACTAAAGTGTTAAGGATGAGCAGTGAGAAAGTAAGACAAAAATTTTACTTTGAATTTGACCGTTTAATTAAAGAGAAATTAAATCCCATTTTGGCATTTAATATTTTATTTTTCAAGTAGAAAGAAATTTAAACCAAATAATTTTGGTTTAGCTTAGTCATAAATATAACTACCAGGAAGGGAAAATTGCTGCTTATCATATAGAACAGAGTTAAAATCATCTGAATCTGTTGAGTATGACTCATATGATGATGTACTTCAGTTGATTATTGTCCTTATTAAGCATTATAAGCATGGGCTAACTGGTGAATCCATGCTTTATTTTATAAAGCATAAACCTTTCTAATTTGAAACTGTTGGCTTATAGCATCTTGAAGGTACTCAAAACTATTGTTTTAATATAGAAAAAATTGCCTACTTCTGCTAGGCAGTTGCTGTAACTCTCTTTTCTCAGTATTTGATCGGTATACATCTACCCTTTATGGCATGGACTGTAGTGCAATTGTCACATGAGATTCTTCTGTTTGAAGCTGGTTGGTGGCTGTTTGATCTCCATAGTAGCAGCCCTGGATGATCCATCAGGAGAGAAAGAGGAGCTCCTTAACACAGGAGCAACTAGATCTCCTCAGTACCTGTCTCCCCAGCTGTATTTCTCAGCCTGATCTCAGTCCCTCAGGATCCTGGTGGCAGATTGCACCACCATCCTCTCTTTCCCATAAATTGCATTTTGAGCCACAGAGATTAGTCCTTTCAAATATACGTTCCTCAACCTGTAGATTTTTATGTCAACTCAATCCTTTTATTGATTTTTCTGTGGAAAGATGGAGACAGCGTGAGTGTTTGGTCAGATTTTTCCATTAGCAGCAAAGAATGCACAAGTCCCCAGGAAAGTAACCTTACAGATATCTGCTGTGTAACACAACCTTTCCTCTCTTTTTGAAGCTTTAGTTTTCTGTATGCATGTGGGCATTGCTGGAAGTGTTTTCAGCTTCAATTATCAGTTAGGCAACAAACTAATTTGCCTGGTAATCGGTTCCAGAAGCAGCCTTCATTCTATTTCCACTTCCAGCCTTAGCAAAATTGGAAAACGCAGCATCTGTCATTTACAAGTTTCTTACACACATCTAGATGTAGACAGAGTAAACAAAGGAATCTTTTGAGGTCAGGTTGTGAAGTACAACAAAATGTAAGGAGACATGGAGCAGAATATAAAACTTGAAGCTAACTGCATTTCAGAGCAAACACAGAGGCTGCTAAATCAACTTTTATCTTTTGGCAAAATAGAGGCTTGTAGTAAGAGCTGGAGTTGTACAAGGTTTTTTTCATTTGCTCTTTTACCTTACATAAATCCCTGTTGTATGTCTTTTCTTTCAAAAGTGGCACGATAAGAATTTTCTTTAATAATTAAAACAAAAGCTGTAATCGATTTTCTTCAAAGCTATGTAAGGTTTTCTGAAAATGGTAGCATTTTTCTGAGGTAAAGTAAGGAAAGACTAGATCAACAACTGGTTTAATAAATTAGGTATTTTCAAGTAGGTTAAACCTACAAGTAAACACCTAAGAGGAATTAGCTGAACAAATGAAGACTGAAATTGAAGACCGTTGAGGAGTAAATGCAACTCTATAGGAAAGTGTGTTGTCCTTTTTCAACCTGCTTTTAAAGAGAATTTTATGGTTGTTAGCCTAACAGCTAGCCTAGAAAGATCTGGAACAAATATCTTAGGTATAAAATATCTAGAGGTTGATGAGTAGCAGGGTTTTCTGGAGAGGAATCTGCGTCACACAAACCAGTTTGTCTGTGGGAGAGGAACAAGAATGTACAGCACAGGTTCGTAGATGCAGGAAATTCATGTAGACCTTGTGGGCGTCAGTTGCTGTAACAGGAACTGCGTTTTCTTTTTGAAACATCTCTGGTCCAAGGAGAAGTGAGCAGTAGTTCTGCCTAAAACTGAAAAGATCTATTAACTCTAAGGCTTAAAACAGGTCTGTCCAGAGTATGTTAAAATTCACTATTTTCATTAAGTATTCCAGCAGTAGACTGCTAAGCAGTAGACTGTTTTCTGAGGTTTGCCAATCTGAGAAGTCATGTTCATACTGTGAAGGTCAGAATCCAGAATGGCCCTTCAAAACTGAAGAAAAAACACTAAAATTCCCCAAGGGCAGGAACATGTGACTGCTGTTAGTTGTGGGGAAAATATTTTATTTTTTATTAATTTTTTTTCCCCCCCCCTGAATATTGTAAACTGACTGAGATGTATGAGTGTGAAAGAGCTTTTTCATTCTGTAAGGAATTAAGCTTCTGCTTGGGTCACTATGATGAGGCTTAGGTACTATACTTGAAGAAAGGTGTGGACCAATTGAACAAAATCGTGAGATTTCATAAAAAATTAATTAGAAGTCTAGAAAACACAAGAAACAGGAATCATTGGAGGACTGATTTTATGTAGTCTAAAGAAGGTGTGACAGGTATTAGGAATTGTAAAAAGCTGATGCAGAAAGTAAATATTCTAGTAAGGAAGTAACATTCTTGAATTTCAGAGAAGAAAATTTAGACCAGGTGCTAGGAAAAGGCTTTGAATAGTAAGAATAGGGAAGTATTGAAACATGATTTATAAGGCTTGTGGAATCTCCATTACAAAAGGTCTTTAAAAATAGATGAGAAAAACTGTGAGAAATAGCTAAACTAGAAGTGATCCTGCCTCTAGGTCATAGGATGGGCTAGCTGGATGATCCCTCCCAGCTCTATTTTCTATGACCTTTCTTAATCATCCCCAGGCTTCAATTACATGCATTTTCACACTTTCCGTGTGTTTAGCTTTTAGGAGAAAGCAATGACTCTCCCATTTAATGACTAGACTTTCTACTAGTTTTACCAAGGCATCCTTAGAAGAATCCAGATACTAGATTCATATGCAAGGCGAACATCAGTTTTCATAGACTATTGTTAAAAATTGGAGTGCTATTACCAGAATTACTATGAAATTACCAGCTATTCCATTATATTCAAGTAAAAATTTCATTAGAAAGGTGTTCTGGCTTTCATATTCTTTTAATTAAATTATTTGCAGCACAGTTTAAAATTTTTGGTGTCTCTGAGTCATAAGAGGGGAAAAAATAGTTCTAATATCTATGTTTTCCCATTTTGATCTCCAGTAGGGTCCAGTTAGTAACACTTGGGTTTATTATTTATTATGCATTATTCATTGTGCCATCTCTTTTTATGACTCTCAAATGATTTATATGCTGTTGTAGAAAGTAAAGCCCTATTGTCTGTCAATGTACATGTTACTTAGATTTCTCATTTTATTTGTAAAAATAATAAAAATTCTGCATCTTACAGTTTTTGGTGAACAAGTTCCATTATCCTCTTTTGCAATGTGATCTTACATGAAGGAAAAGCATACCAAGCACAGCTCTTCTATTATTATTTAAATTATTCCTCTGTATTATTGGTTTTGAATATTTATTAGCTTTTTTATAACCTCTTTCATTATTCATAAAGGGTAGCTACACAGTTTGATGAAAAAAGCAGTAGAAGGAAACCTTATTTTGCATAGCTGGCATCTTTCACTGTTCTCCAGTGGTTTTGCTGGTGGTTTTTTTTGAGGAAGGCCTGCAAGATTCTGGGAGCCTCCATCATGTTTCTTGCAACATCCCCTTCTTATTGGCTTCAGTAGGAGGGGAAACCATCCAGCACCTCATCACCCTGTATGCTCTAGCATAGTTAGGGATGAAATAATAAATATCTCCCAAGAGAGATGGAAGTGAAGAGGCAAAGGTCAGGAAAGAAAGATGTATTTTCACATAAGGTATGAAAAACATCTGGAGAATTACTGACGTAGAGAGAAAGAGAATGGAAGGTTGCTTTAGGTGACTTAGGGATTTGCTTTTGAAGCCCACATGACTCCATGGAAAGAAGGGTGATTACTGTAGTAACTGCAGTATCTGTGTGTATGTCAAGTATCTGACAAGGAGTCAGCATCATGTTTCACAGAAGGCACAAGACCCCACAGTAAGCAGATTGGGGAGGATTATTTTCATGCACTAGGTCTCATCCTCATTTCTAATTTGTATAAGGTTGCTTAAACCCTGAGGTATAAGATTTAGTGTTTATTTGAAGAGGTCTCATCAGTACAGGTATGCGTCTCTCTCAGTGTTCCTGTTAGTAATATACCTACAAAGTACTCTTTAGGCATATTGGTATATATTTGATCTGATCAGCATTTTACATTAGTGATCTCTTAGTCTGATAAAACAGGTTTTGTGTAGGTGGTTGCTTCTCTTTAGTGCTTTTGAATTTGGCATGTTCTACCTTGATTGACTAGCCCCTTTCTTTTATTTTATATTTTTGACTCATGACTTGCTCTTCTTAACTTGCATTAATATGATGACTACTAAAACAGAATATCTTTTAACTGTCTGCCTTCTATTCATTAAATCCTCAGCTACATCTCTACCAGGGTATGTAGTGAATTTGGCATTTTAATGTATGTAACTTCTTGTTTAATTATACCAGTCTCTTGTGTGATACAAGTCCTTTGCCAAGACTGCCTGCCTAAAACCTGAAATACAAAATGGGCCTCAGGAAAGGTCAGTTTTTCTGTTAATATTGTAGATCAGTGTGAAGCTTGCTTGACTCTGAAGAGCCTGGATTTTAAAAAACATGACAGTCTGGTGTACGATTATTGATCAATTATTTTTTTGCTTCCAGCTGAGCTGCCAGGATCATCTGCAATCAAGCTCTCCTCCTTGCATGATCTTCCAGCTCAGCTGCAAGAATTGTACCAGCAGGGCTTCGTCTTGGCTGCTGTCCACCCTTTCGTGCAACTGACTGATGAAAAAGAGAAAACTCCCCAGGAACAAATCTTCAGGGCTGTGCTTATCAAGAAAACAGAAAGGTAAAGCACTTCCAGTGAACTGGGATAAAAATAGACAATGTGATTTCCTGCTGAGTTTTGACCTACATCAGGAAATTATAGCAGAGTTTACTGTGCAAGACTTGATTATTTTTTTTGTTGAGTTATATTTTTTTTTCATAGGCTTGAATAGGCTTAACATGTTCTTTATGTTTACAATTCATCTGCAGTTTGGCAGACGACTTGGAGAATAACAAGTTGAAATATGCTCTGTATTTTGGGATGTGTTGTCATGAGAGGCAAACAAACAAGCCCTAGCCTGGCAATTTGTGAGGATGGTCCCATTGGTACCCATAAAGGATTTATTAGATTAAATTAAGAAAGAAGAAACGTTTGCTTAGAAAAGACATATTTTGCATTTAGACAGTTACAGTTAATGCAACTAATTTGTGAACTGCAGCACTAATGCATACTTCTTAAATTTATGTGTAGACTTAGGGCTCTTCTTTCCTCTACACAATTCAAGTTCTTTTAATTTTTTCACTCAGTGCAAACTAATTAAAAAATTACTCTCCTTCTATGTTCAGTCTCTTAAATGTATTAAAAATATTTTGCTAAATCAAAGCCTGAAAATTAATAACAAACAGGAATACTGTTCTATGTTTTAATCTGATTTAAAAAAAAATCAATAGAATGTGCTGCTAGATATTCCTGAAGAAAATTAAAATGTGAATATTTATAAACATTTATTATTTTTATTTAATTATTTCAAACATAAGTTAATGTTATCTGGCCCCCTACAGCTCTGCACCAACTTGTGCCGTTACAGCCATTCTGTACTGTTTTCCTACCTTAGTTGCATTCCCCAGTCTACCTCTTCTTACAGTGACCCACGCTGAAGACTGGGGGATAATTAAACCTCCATTTGCCAATCCTAGTTCCTCTCTTTATGCTGATGCTTGAAGGAGGGGAGGTAGCTGTTTTAGATACCTCTTTAAAGTAAAACCACCTTTCAGTTTGCTACAGCCTGGTAATCAACCGGTAGCAATTACGGACAGGCTTGAACTTCGGTCTGTGACCTAAGGAAAAAATCTTGCATTTCATTAGCCAATACATGTAGGCATTAGGTGCCACAGGCAATTTTAGCTTCTAAAATAACTCTCCATTTACCTTGACTTGCTTTTAGTTTTATTAATGCAGAATTTCATGCTAGCTTGCCCAATATTGTTTTAAATGTTTCCAGTTTTAATTTAAGGTCAAAACATGCAATGTTATGTTTGGCTGAACATTTGTGCTGAGCATTCCTGTGTCTGAGGCATTGCTTTCCCTGCCTACAAAATGCTCTGCTACAAATAAGGAAATTATTTACATGCAGGAGCTGGTGAAGTTCAGTAAGCACTTAAGCACTTCTGCTGGGTTCAGATCTAAGCATTCAGCATCTTCCATGACTGAGTTATGAAGGCGTCAGGGAAAAGCAGCATCCTCCTCAGCAGAGCGACATGGTCTTCAAGCCAGAGCCCTCAGTGTGTCTCTGCTTTCTCATACCATATCCAGTAGTTTACATCATTGCAGAATGATTGTGAAAGAGTACAAAATCTTAATTGCCTACTAACTCACTTGAGTGCCAGTGTTTCACACACTTTAGACAGCTGTAAATGACTGTACAAAATTAAAGACAGTAGAAGGTCTTGAACCAATTATATTTCCTTTTACATTCACACTCCATTTCTTTGCATTCCCTTATCTGTCATTTCTGACTGCCTGTGGAAGCAGAAGAGAGTTGGTACAGCTGGAAAAAACCAGACAAGTACAAGAAAAGGAAATTACATCAGTTTGGTGTTTCATAGTAGTTTGATGTTTTGGCTGAGAGTATGGGAGAAGCTGCCTATGTGGGGTGTGGGTGCAATGAACGTTTGCATTGTCAAGCACAACAAAGAGGGATGAGTGCACAGATTTCACGTGACTGTGGCCCGCATAGAGGCCTGTATTTGAACTGTGAGTTTATCCCATTCCACTAACAGCTGGGGAGAAAAAAATATGCAATGCTAGAAATAAAGACACACTGTTAATTTTTTTAAATTAACCTTTTTCATTACACTGCTGCTAAAGAATAGATGATACTTTTTTGACTGAGGGCTGTCAGGTCTCTGGCATCTGTTGGCTGTCTCTCTATGCATCAGTTGAACTTCTAGGTAGAAGTTGACATTTGCTTAGAATATTTGCTGATCAGATGAGCCTTTATTTCTGTTGTAACATTTTAGAAGTATAAGTAGTCCAGCTACAGTTGTAGATTCACTAGTAACATCATTTATGCTGTGAAGTACAAAGTGGTCCCCTGCTGTTTTTTGTAACGATGGGGCCAGGCGTTCATAGAGAGCTAAGGAGTCATAAAAAGCTCTGTATGTTGGTGTGGTGCACACCCTCGGGCTTTCTGGGCACTTACTGCCAAACATCTGTGGCTATAGCTCCTCTCTTACTGCAGATGTTTCATCACAGATGGCTTCAGCACTGTACACTTCGTCTGTCAGTTGTCTGGTAGATACCAAGGTGTGGTTTTTCACCTTGCAAATTTTGTTGCCTGAACAGCAATGATATTGTTGCATTAGTGTCTTTTTGGTACAGTAATGTAATTTCTCTGTATACAGAGCAGAATTGAATACTTGAATTAAGCCTTAATCAGTGTTGCATCTTTATACATTAGTTTTATGTTTAAAAAATAGTACTGTTGACTCACAATTTGAGGGCTTCGTCTTACAGCATTGCCTCTACAAAGATAAGAGGCTATAGCACCTGCAGCAGATGAAGTGTGTTAGCAATTACATGCTGCTGCTGTCATTGAGATTGGCAGTGCCTTAATTTTTTTTCAATAATAAAATGGAAGAGTAGTGCTTAGACATGTTTTGAATAAATGCTCATGGAAAAAGTATCTATTAGAGTTACTGCTCCTATTTTGCCATTGTCACAGAGTTGTAAAATTAACAGTGTTAATTTGCAAAGAGATTGTATGTTTAAAGTGTCTTACAAAGTTCCTAGGATAATTTTGTGTTTAATCTGTACTGGTATCTCTGTGACTTCTTTATTTTAGCTATCTAGTAGTTTCCGGTAAATAAGGAAGTAGGATTCATTCTGGCTCTAGGACATTTAAGAAAATTAATTCTTAACATATATGGAAGCCATAAATGTTGAAAATGAAGGGTTGTTCCTTGGAAATGTTAGGGAGGATATTAAAGAAAACGACATATACACTTTTTAAAAATCAAAAATACAATTGTTTGCACTGCAAAAAGTGTCATGTTCAATTAAAGTAAATGAAATAAATAGAGGAGTGTTTAAGATATTTAGAGGCACTGAGCATGAAGATAGTCTACCAAGTAGCTGAAGGACTATGCAATTCCTCACATTAAATTTAATATATTTAAATATTGATGTAGCACCTAATTGTGTTGTGCATATTAACCAGTTGATTGGAAGTAGTTTGGAAGTTGAATAGAATAGAGTTGGATGAAGGAATAAGAATTAATGCTCCTGTGAATACTTTCTCTCTTTTTTTCTCTCTGAATTTCAAAAGATTTGTTAGTTAAAATGCAGTTGGCTGTTTTACTGACTGTTCTGAGTTCTGAGATACTTGGATTTCTTGGAGAAGGCATCTTGTAAAAAAATGAGCAAAGAAAAAATCTTTAAGCCCAGATTTTTTATAGTTTTGTTTTATTGAATGTAGGGAAGGCTCCAGGTGTGCAATGTAGCCCACGGCGTGCTGGTTCGCATTGATTCACACTTGAGAAAAGTTGATTCATACTGATTTACATGTGAAGACAGGAAACTCAGGGAAAGTGATAGGTGGTGGTAGCCTGGTAAGTGCAGATGTGTGACATTGTATTTCTCCTGGCAGAATAGACAGGGGAAGGTCCATGCATTTGGGAGGTCCTGGCTAACCAAGATAAGGAGAGTAGTAGCACGCATGTCGCTTGTGTTCCCCTGAGCATCAGAGATTGCTAGTCCTTCATGTATATAAAAACCTTTCTCTCTTTGCCCTTTTATTTCTATACTTGCTAGTTTTTAATATCATAATCTCTGTCTAGGTGTCTTGTGCATGTTACTATTTTGGGCAACTTGTGTCTGCTGCAAATAACCTGTTCCCTGCAAAGAAATCACAAAGTCAGCCCCTCAACAAAATTGTAATAAAACCGTAGGACAAGGGTGATTTATTTAATTTATTCCCAGCTCCCTGTGATGTGACACCCCTGTCTGGTGTTGTAAAGTTTCAAAGTTCAATGTCGATTAAAGTGTTTTAATTTCCTTTTCTAAATACTGTACACCTTTCACTAGGAAAGGATACATGGTCCAGGCTCACAAATTGCCTTCTTACAATAGTTTTAATTTGTTTGCAGATGCTCCATTTCACCACAGTAGAGAGAAGCAGGGGATGTAAATTGAATTCCAGAGAGCTTTTTTGCTCTGTGGTCCCATCTATGTCTTAGGACATACCTTTCTACAAGTTTTGCTTCCAATCAATAAAGCAATCAGCAAGGAAACATTGCCATGCAGAAGATGACTAAGTGGTATAATTTAAGAATATTTTTTTAGAGTAGAATTGTATGTTTGCCTCAAACAACTTTTCAGCTGTTCTTCCTTTCCGTCAAATAATGAGGTGTCAGGTGTTCCAGTGATTCACTTGATGAGATGATTTTGATTCTATTTCTATAATTTCCTTATATTCATTAATCCTGATGAAATGCAAACTTTGATCACTTGGCCAAAAATAATTCTATTTATCTGCAAATAAATTTGACAAAGTGAGTTCAAAAGTTTAATGGTAAAGTGGGATTTTTTTTTTTTTGCTGCTATGCAATGCTAATTCCAAGATACTTGAATTAATGGGGTTTTCTAAGATACAGCTTAGATACACAGTGTCCTCTGTGTCATTTAAAGTCTGGATTTACAGAAAATGTGGAAAATGGATTTATAGAAAGTCTGGATTTATAGAAAATGTAAAGCAGCATGATGTAAATGCAAAAGATTGAAATGACTTAAATGTATAATAT